TGTAATTTATTCCTGTGATGCTGAACTTTCATCATCTGTTACATCAGTCTTCAGTGTCACATGATCCTATGCATGATAATATGCTGATATGGTGTTTGGAAAATATTGCTTATTATTAAGATCCATGTGGAAAATAGTTGTGCTGCTTAATACATTTGTGAAAACTGTGATATAATTTTTCAGGACTGTTTGATGAATAAAAAGTTCAAAATAACAGTATTTATTTGAAATAGAAATCTTTTTAACATTATAAACGCATTTACTCTCACTTTTAGTTCATTTATTGCATTCTTGCTAAATAAATAAATAATAAAAATGATATAGTAATAAAATTACTATACATTTATAAAAGTATATTTAAAAACTTTAATGTTAGGTGGGATTAATCGCGATTAATTTCAGAAAAATGTGCGATTAATTAGTTATTTTTTTAATCGATTGACAGCACTAGTATGTACACACACACACACACACATACATATATATATATATATATATATATTTCCATCACACTAGAATAATGAGAATTTGAAAATCTTGCTAAAACAGACTTTATATTTCACAAAATCTTATGCAAAATACTCTTTGTTTTGATTGTAATGTTACTAGACAGATTTCCTGAAATTCACCCACTTCTTCATACCACTAAACCTGCTTTACCTCTCTAAAGGATTTCAATAGGTATGCTGAGCAATTCTGCTTCACAGGCTAATAAGTCTCCCTCTCTAAACCACAAGAGGATTGTTTTCACTGAAATTCCCAATTAGCTGCTATGGACAGCTCTCTCAGGAGACCGGAGTTTCTACTGCTCCGTGACCTCTCGCCAAATTGAACTGCTTAGAAATCTTAAGAATTTTAATGTAGATTGGCTCCCATTGGACCTGAAGGGCAATGTCAGACTTATTCAATCTCTATGTTCATGTGCCGCTGCTGAAGTACACTTCTTCCCACCATTTCTGTGGTAACAAACCATAAAGTACAACTGGAATTCCTGTGCATCTAAATGGCGAACTGAAGTCTAAGTCAGTCATTGGCTACTTTTGAATGGCACCGAATCTCAACTGTCCTTGGTATTGTTTTGAAACTGTAGAAAAAAATGATGAAGAAAGTAATCTGAGTGACATTTGTCATCTTCATTCTTTGTGGCATATGCTACTGCCCTGAAAGAACAGCCGTCTAAACACATAAAAGACAGAGGATCTCTTAACATGACACTCAAGCATTGCCCTTGTAATTATAAGAAGGTGTATGTTTCTGCATCCAAATCTTGTGTGTTCAGTCAGCCATTATGCCTTTCCTCAGTTCCTGATTTATCCAATCCCATCATAAGCAAGACCAAAGACAAGAGATATCAACTCAAAATGAGCCTGAAATTGCCATTAAATGCTAATCTCTTCCTAGCCTCTCTGCCCTCAGCCCCCTTACAGAGTCTGGCAGACAAAGAGATCTCAAGCCAGAATAAATTGCAGCACATACCCAAAGCAATTCAAAGTTTATTAAGAAGTATATTAAGGCCAATATTAAACATTATAAGTGAGTGCCCAATGCCATTGCCATGCAAATTATGCCATGGCTACTCAAATTGGAAGTGTCTGATAAAGCAAATTATGAAAATTGTAATTCAGTTAATGTAATTTCAAAACAATCTGCACACAGTGGCAGAACCAGAACCAGAAGATGCCAGAACCAACAGCCTAAACAGGAGAGCAAAGAGCTGATTTGGGTGGAGAATGGTTTGATTAATTGTTGGTGAAGCCAAGTGTGACGAAAAGGCAATAAGGAAAAACACAAAGAGACACATTCATGAATCTAACAGTAATATTCACTAACAAAATATTTAATATACATTTTAAAGATATTGCTGCTTATTCTGGCCAAAATTTTAAATAAATAAAAAGTAAATATATTAAATAAATAAAACCAAGTATGTCTATTTCTTGTTATGCCAGACAGATTATAATTTGCAAGTTAAAATAATACTTTCCAGTCTTGTGTGGTATGTCTGCTATGTAAAAGCAGACATAAAAAAGAAAGAACAAGAGAAGAAAAGCACCAGGCCCAGACGGTGTGACACCAGTCTGTCTGAAAACCTGTGCTGACCAGCTGGCCCCCATCTTCACACAGATCTTCAACAGATCACTAGAGCTGTGTGAAGTCCCATCATGCTTCAAACGTTCCACCATCATCCCCGTCCCAAATAAACCCAAAATTACTGGACTTAATGACTACAGACCTGTGGCTCTAACGTCTGTGGCCATGAAATCATTTGAAAGACTGGTTTTGGCTTATCTGAAGGACATCACTGGAACCTTACTGGACCCCCTGCAGTTTGCCTACAGAGCAAACAGGTCTGTGGATGAAACAGTCAACATGGGACTGCATTATATCCTGCAACATCTAGACAGACCAGGGACTTATGTGAGGATCCTGTTTGTGGAATTCACCTCGGCGTTTAACACTATCATCCCAAACCTCCTCCTGCCCAAATTAACTCAGCTCTCCATGCCCTCCTCCATCTGTCAGTGGATTGCCAGCTTCCTGACAGACAGGCAGCAGCTAGTAAAGCTAGGAAAATTCTCATCCAGCACCCGTACGATCAGCACTGGCGCCCCCCAGGGTTGCGTCCTCTCCCCACTGCTCTTCTCCCTCTACACAAATGACTGCACATCTAAAGACCCCTCTGTCAAGCTCCTGAAGTTTGCAGATGACATCCCATTCATCGGCCTCATTCAGGATGGTGACGAGTCTGCTTACAGACAGGAGGTTAAAGAGCTGGCTGTCTGGTGCAATCTTAACAACCCGGCGCTTAACACACTCAAAACTGTGGAGATGATAGTGGACTTCAGTAAGAACCCCCCTGCTCTCCCCCCACTCACCATCATGGACAGCACTGTAATGACAGTGGAGACATTCAGGGTCCTGGGCACCACTATCTCTCAGGACATGAAGTGGGACAATCACATTGAGTCCATTGTCAAAAAGGCCCAGCAGAGGTCCACCTTCGCCAGCTGAGGAAGTTCAACCTGCCACAAGAGCTGCTGAAACAGTTCTACTCCGCCATCATTGAATCCGTCCTCTGCACTTCTATAACTGTCTGGTTCAGTTCAGCTACCAAATCTGGCCTCAGAAGACTACAGAGGATAGTCCGAACTGCTTCGCGAATCACTGGTACAACCCTCCCTTCTCTCCAAGAACTGTACTCATCCAGAGTGAGCAAAAGGGCTAGCAAAATCACACTGGACCCCTCACATCCAGCACACTCCCTCTTTGAACTGTTGCCATCTGGTTGACGCTACAGAGCACTGAGCACCAGAACGACCAGACACAGGAACAGTTTCTTCCCTCAGGCAATCCATCTCATGAACACTTAACAATAATCGTGGAACACACAACACTAGTATACATTATTTATTTAACACATACTTATTTACATTTCAAATTTGCACATATCATACCTGTATATACAAAATTGTCTATTTTATATATTGTTTTTGCTTTTTTGTACATTGTCTATTTTGTCTATTTTTATATTATTCTTTTTATTATCTGTGTCCTGTCTTGTCCCTGTCATTCTGTTGCACTGTGGAGCTTCTGTCACTAAAACAAATTCCTCGTATATGTAAACATACCTGGCAATAAAGCTCATTCTGATTCTGATTCTGATTCTAAAATAAACAGATAAAATACAGATATAATTAACAGGTTTAAAAAAATTATCAAAGTTTTGTCCAGAAGAGATCCCTGGATTATTTTCTCTCCATCATGGGATGTCTATTCCTCAAAAAGAAGACATGAGCATTTGTTAAAACTAAGATAAGTCTATATATATATATATACTGATTTTTTTTTTTAGTTTTAACAGATTCATTGATTGTATTATAATGCTGAGCTCTGACTTGAGTTTGTGAACAAATATGAGAAATGAAAGAATAACTGAAAGAATCACTAATAGTTCTCAAATACTCACTCAAGGTCACCTAGTAGTTTAATGAACTAACTACAAGAAGAAAAAAATTTGTAAATGAACCAGTAAACTAATCCTCTAGTCTTTTTGGTAAACTTAAAGAATTTAAATGTAAAGAATCATGCAAATTGCATGAATTAAAATAGCCTACACTAGTCTAGTGTATAAGGCCCTTGTAGTTGATGTGTAGTAGTTAAAAAAAAAAAAAGTAAAAATAAAATAAGGAATGGACACAGATGTGCCAGGGCTCGCTAGGACCTTTAGTGGTCCTTTAGTCCACTCAAAGTCCTAACATTTCCTTTTTGGGATCGAATCACAGCCTTGTGTAACATCACATTACTTGCAATTCCAACACGTGTACTGCCAACAGAAAGAAACTGAGTTTCATCCAGCACCATCAGTCCACAGACACACTTTCTGGGAGCTTGTTTAAGGTGCCAGTGGAATACTGTGATATCACACACACACGTATAGAAGAAAAGACATACCTGCTGTTTTTGGCTCAAAAATCAGGTTGTTAAACCAAGCTTGTTGTGTATCAGCCAGTTCACACTGCAGAAACAAACTTTTATGAGTGAAAAAAAGAGACAAACTGAAAAGATGTGTCCTGAAAACCACAAAGGTGAGACTGCAAACAGACAGCATCAAAAAATAACAAAAGGATTTTACATATTCAGACCACTCTCAGACAGCTGTATTTCCCACAATTCAATACTATTTTTGTCCGTTTACAACTCTTCTTCTAAGCACTGCACATATGCAGTAGAAAAATGGGTTTCACATTATACATGACTTCAAAAGCTTTACAGTCTACATTAAAGGGGAGGTCTAACGCTATTTCATGCATTCTGAGTTATTTACAATGTTAAGCACTTGTATTCTCATGCTAAACATGACCAAAGTTTAAAAAAATGATTTGGATGTATGACGAAGTATTTCTGTGCCAAATACACTCCTTCCGTTTTTTTTGAGGATAGCACTGTATAACGTCATGAAGGGCGGAATTCTTTGCTGGATTTCAATGCTGTATTTGCACATCATTTGATACTGAAAGATGGACCGGTCCCAGCAATAAAAGATCCCAGTCATGAGTCGGAACCGTAGACGGTAACTACAACTCAATCAAATTTCTGTGTTTTGCTGGTAAGTACTCGTGAATCTTTAGCTCCGCCTACGGCACGCCTCCGGGAGCACAGCTGTTTCCGGAGAGAATCGTAAAGCTGTATCTGTATTATAAATCTGATCAAACTAAAGAGTCTTCGGCGATATGAAGGATGCAATGCTACTCTATAGGTACTCAAGATTAACATGAGACTGACCAAAACTGTGTGTTATGTCCCCTTTAAATCAAAATAGAAAATTTAAGAGATGACGGACAGGACACAGACAGACAGACAGATAGACAGATAGACAGATAGATAGATAGATAGATAGATAGATAGATAGATAGATAGATAGATAGATAGATAGATAGATAGATAGATAGATAGATAGATAGATAGATAGATAGAGACAGGCAGACAGATGGAAAGATAGATAGATAATATACAGACAGACAGACAGACAGACAGACAGATAGATAGATAGATAGATAGATAGATAGATAGATAGATAGATAGATAGATAGATAGATAGATAGATAGATAGATAGAGTCAGACAGATTGAAAGATAAATAGATAATATACAGACAGACAGACAGACAGATAGACAGATAGATAGATAGATAGATAGATAGATAGATAGATAGATAGATAGATAGATAGATAGATAGATAGATAGATAGAGTCAGACAGATTGAAAGATAAATAGATAATATACAGACAGACAGATAGACAGATAGACAGATAGATAGATAGATAGATAGATAGATAGATAGATAGATAGATAGATAGATAGATAGATAGATAGATAGAAGCACAAAACCCTAAAGTAAACTTTGAATCGTTCAGGATAATCCCGCAGTATAATTCCCACTCTCCTTCCTCTCTACGCAATCTCAGGATTGGATGGACCGAATATTTCCAATATATCTCTTTTTAAGAAGAGAGGAGACAACAAAATCTTCCTGACTGCTCTAAGACTCCATTTTGTATTGTTTTGCAAATTGTTTCGCAACAGATTAATTAAAACGCATCAGAATTAGTGTGCAAGGTTTCCGTGCGTGACAATTTTTTAGTGACGAATACGAAAAACGCATACGAAAACTTCGGACTCAGTGTGCAAGGACCTTTAGAATACCTTATTGTCCCGAATATAAGACGACCCTAATTATAAGACGACTCCCCTTTTTCCAGATGTACCTTTTGGAAAAAGGCTTTTTAAAAACCAAATCTTGTATTTTCTCAGTAAAACACATTTTGTCTTCAATTATTTTCATATTGCATATTTTTCCTATTTTAATTTTTGTTTTGAAAGTATGTTAAAAACTGGTAAAATGTACCAACAATCACATGTAAAAAATATACACTTTTTGATACCATTAAAAAAAAAAAAAAAAACAGGTAACCCATCTGAATTAGGACATTTAGGCTATCCATCTAATAGTAGCCTACCAAAATCTTATTAACAGTAGAAGTTAAATCTTACTGTAGTCTTCAAATCTGGGTACTGTCTTACGTTTTAAAATCCCAAAGGGAGTTTGGTCCCATCAGGCTAACGTGACAGTCACGACTCATGCAGCTGTAAGCTTTTCTTTTTCTTTTGTTTTAACTCGTGATCTTTACAACATGCATTACATTACGTATTTCATGGCACACTCATTTTATGTGTATTTGGCACCACCTATTGTTGTGGGTGTATTATAGAAGACGACCGCGTTTTTTCAGATGTATTTCCAAGAAAAAAACATTGTCTTATATTCGGGTCAATACGGTAAATAAATAAATAAATGAATGTGTCTACATCTAGTAACATTAAACTGGAAAGACTGGTTTGCACTCTCACCTATACAGAAGTTTTATCATAAATCAGAATGTACCATAAATCATATGCACAAATGAGAGCATACAGTAACATTTGTTTAACATAATGGATTAGGTTCATTTCCATCCACCTACAGTCTCAATGTCATCTACATATGTTCTACACTTTCAGCCCACTCTATGATATAATAAGGATTTTAAGTTCTTGCAGATGAACAATGACTTACTTAAACACACTGCAGCTCAGTCAGGTGTTATGGAAATATTGCCTACTCATCAGTCATTACTTCTCATTGCATTTAACCGAGTAATTATTTAAAAGAATCCCACACTGATGTTCTTCGCTATGGAAGACAAATCCAGGCATTAAGCTGTCTTTGTGTGTGATGAGGGATCTCAGAAATGTTGATTTTGCCCTTCTCTACTCCGCTAGCATAAAAAAGCTTTATCATCAGTCCTATTTGAGCTTTACAGCACACTAGCAAGTGTATCAGCCAGATCGTCTAATACCGCCCAGTCACGAAAAGTTCATCAGATGCTGGTGAGCCAGTGTGTCAGATTGAAGGAGATCTGGGCTGTGATTGGTCACAAAGACGAGAATTTGTTTCAGCTGTTTTGGCATGTTAGCCTTCAGGGTTTGTTGTTAAGGTCACTTTTTCAAGATTCTTATTACATAATCTTTCAGAGATACTGACTTTTTCACCAAGGCCTCCTGCACAGCATTGAGGAAGCTTTGTTAAAAAATGGAGCTTGCTGAGCTACACATAATTTAAGGTAGTCAAAAAGACTTTGATACACTGCCGTTACTACACTGTTAGATACACATGCTAACAAAATGGAGCTAAAAACAGTAAAGTAAAAAAAACACATTTGAAACTAATTGAAAACAGTGATGAACCGCTTTTATATTTTGATATAAAGACATAAAATGACCTGATACAGTTTAGCTGACTTGATTTGATTACTCCTTTCTTTTCGATGTGGTTCACTTGCATTAAAGGGTTAGTTCACCCAAAAATGAAAATTAGCCCATAAATTACTCACCCTCAAGTCATCCTAGGTGTATGACTTTCTTCTTTCAGACAGATCAAGTCAGAGTTATATAAAAAATTGTATTTGATCTTTCAAGCTGTTTAAAGGGACCATTTCGACCTCTCTCTCAAATGGACCATTGACACTCTATCTACAATTTCAATTGGGAGTTTCAATGGTACATTTGAGAGACAGGTGGCGGTAATGCACTTATAAGTCTGCGATCCGCCGTAAAGCAAGAAGAAGAAGAAGAAGACGACGCCTCACACGCAGGCTGAAAAAGAAGACGCGAAGGCGCTCAGAAGAATTCAGACATTGCGGTAAAAAACTATATAAATACTGTTTGGTTTCTTGCACAGACCGATCGTTTTGTGTCTTTACACATCAATGTATCATCACGAGCCGCAGGGTTTAATTTGGTTGTGTTTGTGTATGTTTTATGACTCTCAAAGCCATGATTCCCATCCACTGATATTATAGGACTGACAGACTGCAACGGTTTGAGCTAAAAATCTCTGTTTGTGTTCTACTGAAGAAACAAAGTCACCTACATATTGGATGTCCTGGGGGTAAGCAGATAAACATCAAATTTCATTTTTGGATGAACTATACATTTAATGCCACTCAGCGGGTGTTGCTTGCATCAGTACAAAAGAAGTTAAATAAAAAGCGCCCATCCATAAAAAAAAAGTGTCTCACACGGCTCCGAGGGGTGAACAAAGGCCTCCTGTAGCGAATCGATGCGTTTTTGTAAGAAAAATAACCATATTCAAAACATAATAATCACTTTAATGTATCTTGCGGATGACATATGAGGTCGGCTTTGTGCATGTGCGGCTCAGAAGTGACGCACGCGGAAGCGCAAGGTAGAGATCAAAACAAAACAACGGTCACTTATTAGAAGTACAAAACGAGGATTTGTATAGAAGAATGTCGGAGGATTTCGATAAGCCAAGAGGAGACTTACTTGCTAAAGTAAGGAAACTTTGCTTCCTTTGCTCCTGTTAACAAACGTTGGTTTTCACGAGACTAACTGGCGCATGCGCAACGCTGAAGTCATACGTCATCAGCCTGGAACTGCTTGGCGCAGTTTTTTTACAACTGTTGGCGCAAGCTACATTAAAGTGATTATTACGTTCTGAATATGGATATTTTTCTTACAAAAATGCATCGATTCGCTACAGGAGGCATTTGTTCACCCCCAGGAGCCATGTGAGACACTTTTTTTTTTTTTTTAATGGATGGGCGCTTTTTATTTAATTTATTTTGGACTGATGCATGCAACACCCACTGAGTGGTATTAAACAGCTTGAAAGATCAATGGCAATTTTTAATATAACTCCGACTGAATTTGTCTGAAAGAAGAAAGTCATATACACCTAGGATGACTTGAGGGTGAGTAATTTATGGGCTAATTTTCATTTTTGGGTGAACTAACCCTTAAGCACTGAATAAATAATTTACTAAAATGAATCTGACTTTCCAACAGGACAGGACAGGCAGCTCATTGTTAACTAAAATGAACATTTACAACTATTAACATTAATTTGTGTTAATTGAAATAAAGCTAAAATTAAATAAAACGCAAGATGAATATTAGATGGAAAAACTTACAAACTTAAACTAGAGAATTAGAAATGTTGCCCTTGCAACTAACTGAAATAAATAAGTTTAAGTATTAAAATTACTAAAACTAAACAAAAATATTTTTGTTAATTAAAAACATTTGAAAAAATAAATAAGATAAAAGCACATAGCAAAACTACTAAAAGATCAAATAAATTAAATTAAATTAAAATGAAAACTGAAAACATAAAAATAAAACCGAATTCAAAATATTAATAAATGATATAACAGTATAGAAATAATACTAAAATAACACTGTTCCAATGCTACCTACTTTCTAGGTGAGCACATTATTGCTTATTCGGTGGTAAAGCTGTGTCTGCAATATAATATGACACAAAAAATTAAAAAAAAGTTTTTCATGGTATATGCTACTGGTTAGAAAATGTAACTTGTTGGCGAAAAAGCTACTGGAAAATGTATTAAATCAGTAGCAAAGCTCCTTTTAGTTAGTTCAAGTTGAACTCAGCAGATCAGCATGCTGTACGCCAGCTCTCAAACAATGCTAATGCCAGTCGTAAGTT